AAAATCTGTTGGGAAGTCATCTACTATAATGAAAGCCAGAATGGACTAGTGTGTTACGATTGCTGAGCAGCTTTGTTTTTCAGCAGTAAAGAGCCATTACAAGTAGAGTCAGACTAATTAACATTGTTGTGCATTTTTCTCCAGTCATCCTGAGGGGTCTTGGTGCACAGAATAAGCTGAGACTTATATGAGCAGGGCTGTCTGTAGTTTATTGAAAGAGAATCATGAAACGAATGGGCACAAGGAAGTCAATAGTATATACAAGACAGTGATTATAGTGATTGACTATGAACTCTAAGCTAGATAGGAAGGGAAGTGAGAACATGAAGGGGGTGATGGACAGTGAAAACATAGTAGAATCATCAGTGAAATATAAGTCCTTGTGGGATTGAAAGATCACTGGAATTGGAGCAGTAAAAAAAAGTGAGCTGAAGAGGTCAGAGAGTGAAGTGCTTGAAGTTGAAATTACGGAGATGCATTATTGGTAAAGATAGGACCTAGGGTATGATCATGGTAGTGGGTTTCAGGGCTGGGTGGGAAATGGAGCCACAAAGGCAGATGCATATCAGAGTGTTAGGGCATGTGGAGCGACAGCAAGACCTTGGTGCAGTAACTTACACAAATAGTAACCAATATCCACCCTAGTGTGGATGATTAACTTAAACCCTTGGTGGTAATATTATTCCCCTTACAAGTGACTAATGTGGGGGTAGCCAAGAAGATGAGGGCAAGTCTGCTGGGGAGCTTCTGGGAAATGTTCTATTATTCCAAAGAAAGAGAAAGTTCCTCTTCTTCCTCTGGGTCATATAATACCTGAAATTGTTTAGCTATCCTGTTAATAGCCTGAGGATGAACTATGAAGATGGTAGAGAGAGGGAGAACACATGAGTTCTTGATGTCACTGTTGAACCCTGGTCAGTGCACTATCCACAGACTGAGTATGGATATACTGGAGCCTGCACTATCCATAGACTTTCTATTTTGAGAAATAATAAATTCTCATATTGTTTAAGTCAGTTTGCATTAGATTTCTGTTATTCACAGCCAGAAGCTAACAGTATCTTTGTGGAACTCCCTGCCAGTGGGAGAGCCAGACATGGAAACAGACAGTCACATCTCAGCATGCTGATGTTACCCTGAAGGAGAAGCAGAGGGTTGTGAGATCCTGATGTAGATGCCTGACCAGATTGAAGGTTGGGGAGGCCATCCCCAGAAGGAGTAGTCTTGAAAGGCCAACGGGAGTCTGCTGGGCAAAAGGGGTTCCTGGAGAGAGAGTTGAACACGTGATGGAATAGTGGTGAAAGGAGGCTCAGAAATGCCAGTGGTTTCACCGCCGGTAGGAATTGTAGATGACCTTGACAAAAATAGTAGTAATAGTTGATACCTATTAGCCAGCCCCAGAACTTATGTATGTTAGATGTTCACTAATCGCCTATCCAGCACTTACCTCCCGTTTCTGCCTTCTTATCCATGCCTATATTTTCCTTTGACAGCTATTCCTCTCTCCTTGTGTGACTGACTCCAACCCAGTTCTAGAGGTGGACTCTGACAGACAGAATCCAGGAAGAGCAATCTTATCCCCCTTGACATAATGATTCACTCTGGTAAATAAGGTACAAGTCAATCATATATGGTAGTCTTTTGACTACAGAAAGCAGTTCAGAGATAGTTTTAAGTCAAGTTTGGGACTTTCACTGACTGTTTTTGAGAAATAGTGCTCTCTCCTGCTGCCCGTAAATAAGAAAGCATATAGCAGCCTCCTTTCTGCTAGCTGCTAATTTATATCCATGGGAAAAGTCATTCAAGGGTTATATTGTGGGAACTGCACACATTGTCGGAGGTGAGACAACTGAAGAGCACTTGAAGAGAAGCCCTGATTGAACTGCCCTGAAGTCTGCCCTGTTGCTTGACTTTCCGCCACATTTGCCAATAAATCCTTTTATTAGTTAACAAAATTTGAATAGAATTTTCTGACTTGAAACTGAATAGATCCCAACTTGAAACATATACACAGGATCAGTATGTTTATTAATAACATATATTTTATACTTTACATGGCACATGAACAATTCATATAGAATATTCAGTTCTCCACCAGACATCTGTAAACCCTGATGGCTTGGGTTGGGATACATCTCTTGTCATGCCTGACTCTGGAGAAGTGGACAGGGGACAGTATTCTATCCTAAAAATAATTGAGAGCCAAGGGAAATGTTTAAGTAGGTTAACAAACAAAAGGTAATAATTTCCATGGTTTTGAGGTTAAACCTTTTCAATGGGGAATTTTTTTCTTTGCTTTTCTTCATCACTAAAATTCTTATTGACCTCAAAATCTACTCATTCATTAAATAGCTACTTAGTAGGCATTTACTATGTGTCAGTCACACTTGTGTGAACTTAGGATAGAGCAGAGAACAAAACAGACAAAAATTCCTGCCACGTGGAACATGTCCTATTCAGGCCAAATAGTATCCTCTTCAAGGTGTCTGCCTGAACTGTCCCAGTCATATTTAATATTTCCTCTGCTTTTATGGCTGGTATACCATTGTAATTATACTTATGGTCTACTTCAAGTTAGTGGTATTGCTTCAGATGTCAAATATCTTCCTCACTAAACTAAAGGGTTCTGGGATCAGAGCCTCTGTTATTAATCTGTCTCTGGAGTACAGAGCTGGTTCAGAGGAGGTCCCATTGTGTATTTGTTGAATGAGTGAATGACTCTGTCTATATAGTCTTTTTTTTTTAAGGATTTTCTTTATTTTTTTTTTCAGAGAGAGGGAAGGAGAGATAGAAAGAAAGGGAGAGAAATGTCGATATATGAGAGAAACATCCATTAGTTGCCTCTCAAGTGCCTCCAACTGGGGACCTGGCCTGCAACCCAGGCATGTGCCCAACCAGGAGTTGAACCAATGCCTTTCTGGTTTGCAGGCCAGCTCTTAATCCACATAGTCACACCAGCCAGGGCTCTGTCTATAGTCTTAAAGGGTCAGTGCTGCAGGGTAGAGCTCTCACTGCAGCCTCTCTGCCAGGAATTCATTTGGAACAGTTGGGAGCCAACGTGTCATGCCTGAACTTAGGCGATCTGGAAGTTGTAAAGAAACGACATTTCTAACAAGTGATTATTACTGAAAATTGATAACAATAAAGTTCACTTGTATGACTCTAGGCATAATAGGAAATGAAAGTCTGGATAATACTGTTATGAAATTCAAATAGCTATTCAGTGTAATGAGTAGAAATGGGTCTTCGATGAAGAAATGGAACAATGACAGTGAAAATGGTAAATGCAAAGTATGAAAATATTTCTTTTTAAACTTAAACAACCCAATAACTGGGTCATCTATGCATCTGAATATTTTATAAATTATTATAATTTAGGGGCAAAGACCTCTGATTTTCTTGGAAACAAGAAAAAAAATTAAACATCCAAAGCAATTGTTTCTGCCAGAGGTCAAATGATTGCTGTTTTATTGCCACACAGTCAACAGAGGGAGCTCCTGTTACAAAACCTAACAACATGATTTTCCTACATAATTTTGTACGTTGGTAGAAAGCTGACAGAAGACATAGAAAGACGTAGGCACAGATAGAGTAGAATTAATTTGATTTTAAACTACTGGGAATATGGAATCCCTATTATGAAACTGGCCTTGGGGGATGATTAAGTTAAAAGTATTTCAAAATAGCACATGTGTAGTGGAGTTTTTAAAAAGCTCTTTATATATTACCAGTGTAATCCTTTATATTTAAGGTACACAATTATATTACTCTCCTATGAGAAGAGTATATGAGGAGGCTTAAAACCCTCCAATGGAATTTTCATCACTTGTATGATAAATCTAAACTTATGCAGTTGTGAAGATTAAAGAAGATAATAAATAACATAGCACTTGGCACAGTAAATTCTTAGTATTATTTTTGTCTACTGTGTCTTTGTTGTAGTTATCCTTCAGACTAGAGTGCTTTCTAGACTCTCTCATTCCTACTCTGGCTTTCATCTGGTTAACTTTTTTCTTTTCCTATAGCTTTCAGGATCCCAGAAGTCTTGCCTCATTCACAGATGGGGTGCTCTTTTGGTACTTAATCACACCATATCATAATGATCTGTTCACAAAGGTGTCTCTTACACTTGAGAGTAGAGGGCAGACCTCAGAAACTATTCTGTCTCTAATGCTGAGCAATAGGGTGATCAACCATCCAGGGTTGCCTGGGACTGTTCCAGTTTTTGCAGTGAAAGTCCCACAGTTTCTGGGCAAGGACAATTGGTCACCCGGCCACAGGTCCTGACACATAATAGTTCAACCAATACATTTGTTTACCTACGCATGTTATCTTTGCTGAAACACTTTTGATTCCTGTGAGTAAATTTCTCCAACTATAACTAAAAAGTTTGAACAAAATAATATTTAAGGCCCCTTTTAACATTGCCACTTTAGAATTGGATATCACATTTATGGCCTGCCTACATTCATTATTTTATATATCCATACTAAGGAACTCTTAACTGGTATGCACAGGTACCAGTCCAATATTTTTAAAAAGTACTCATAATAAATTAGGTAAAAAGAGAAAGATATAAATCTTGTATTATGGTATGATTCCAATATTGTAAAATATGTACATTTTTGTGCTTTATAGAAGAAAAGGGAGCTCTGAGGATGGGGGGCGGTTGGTGGGTGGTGGGATCAAGCAAAAAAGAGCAAGAACTAATGGACACAGACAACAGTGTAGTAATTGTGAGGGGAGGGGTGGAGGCGGAAGAGGGTATAAGGAAGAGAGATGGTAATTGTAAAAAATACAAATTTTTTTAAAAGAGAAGGGAATGGAATTATGAATACATTTTCTATTAACAATAAATTTCCCCACTTTAAGAATTTTCAAAAATCTCTACAATGATTATATGATCTTATAGTTAACCAACAATACCTATAAAAAAGCAGAAGTTAGGTAACTGATTATAACTGACTACATGTTTCCATCAGTACAGTCCTTCTCAAACATTAGCGTAGCTCTGGGATGGGCCTGTGATTCTGCATTTCTAACAACTGTCCCAACGATGCCAGTGCTTCTGGTCCGAGGGCAGCATTTGAGTAGCAGGCGTTAGTGTACATAAATTCTAATCTGCATTGGATTATTAATGACAATATTTGAACTATCCTGAGCCTTTGCTAGTGCTTCTAAAAATGACACACTTTTAGAAGTAACTCACAATTCAACTTTCTGAGAGCTGAGGAGGTCAATACCTTAGGAAGCTTTGTGAACTCTTTGAGATACAGTGGTTGGGAATTTCTGCCTCGGGGTTAGTTGTCTTTTGTAAACAAAAAGTGAAATGCAACTAGACATTATCAAACCAACCAAAATTCAAGAACACTATAGATGCTACATTACTCAGAGTAACTGCCCCTCCTCTGCGCTCCTCACAGAGGTTCTAGTAGAGTTGTGTTCTGTAAACAGTGCTTGAATGAAGAAATGAGTTTAATTGTGTAATAATAGCTAATGTTTGGATAACTTCTGTAGGCTTAAAGCACTAGTTCTCAGGTTTCAGAATGTGTGTGAGACTTATCTGGGGAAATAGCTGAAGTATAGATTCCTAGACTCTACCCTCAGAAATTCTGATTGTGGACAGTGGAGCTCAAGAATTTGTAATTTTAGCAGGTATCCAGATGATTCTATTGTGTGTCTCTGGTCCATATGTTGAACAACACTGATTTTAAACATAAAAAAGTAATACCACAGCCTATAGTAAGAAATCTATTTTTTAGTGTGATACAGTTCATACACATTTATATACACATATACCTGAGACAAAACTTCCTCCAAACAATACTAACCCTTACTATGTGCCATACAGTCTGATACTTTCTATTTATTCATTTTATTATTCGTATCTTTTACCTCATTCAATTCTCACATCAGTGCTGAAAGGTAAGCACTTTTTAACTACATCTTTCTTACCTGGAAACTTAACTTTGGGGAAGATAAATGTGCCTAATGTTTCACGTTGCATTAATGGCAGAGACAGAATTCAAATGTCAAAGGCCCGCCTTTAAATGGCCCTGACCTGCTCTCACCCTGACACAGACATCCAGAAAAAACTCAGCAAATCTCCAATTCTGCAATACATTCAGACTAACTTTGGTTTCCCCTGTTGAATCCTAGCATCTTTGAATACCAACTTGAAATTTCTAAGAGAAAAAGAATGAGACTCAACTTGGACCAGGTGTGAACTCTGATCCATTCTGCTGTAGTCAAAAGGATGTTGAGGAGGACCTAGTACCGTCATGGCCACCTAAGCCCACAGCAAGGGCTGAACCTGGGGGTAATTTCAAAGAAGGGGCAAAGGGCTTGCAGTCACACAGAAACACATTTACTATACCTGCATTTCTCACCATTTGACAAGGAATTTTCTGTCTCCCTCTCCAGGTAAGTCTTCACTGCAGCATTTTACCAGGAACACTGGAACAGTGTAATCCAAGTATCTTCTATCTCCCACTTCCTGCTAAACCCCTGTCTTCATTTCCCCCAATATAGAGCAGGGACAGTTCTGGGAGTTCTCGAAAAAGGCGAAGAAGAATGCCACAATGAAAAGGCACCTCCTTCAGTTTTTGTGGCTGGGGACAGCGATCAGTTTTGGGCGTCAATAATAATCTTAAGCCCTGACTGATGTGGCTCAGTGGATTGAGCGCCAGACTGTGAAGCAAAGTGTCCTTGCGTCAATTCCCAGTCGGGGCACACGCCAGGGTTGCAGGCCAGGTCCCCAGCAGGGGGCGAGAGAGCAAAGCTATTTAGAATGGAAGGGCAGATAAAGTGCTTCCCAAACAAGGTCAAGTAAAAGAAGTTTGTTGTCACCAAGCCCTTATTATATGAAATGTTAAAGGGACTTACCTAAGAAAAAGAAGATGATCAAAAGTAAAATGACAACAAACTTACAACTATCATAACTGAACCTAAAAAAATAAAAACAAACTTAGCAAACAACTAGAACAGGAACAGAATTACAGAAATGGAGATCACATGGAGGGTTATCAGTGGGGCAGGGGAGGGAGGAGAATGTGGGAAAAGGTACAGTGAATAAGAAGTGTAATCGGCAGGCACATAATAGACAAGGGGCAATTAAGAATAGTACAGGAAATGGATAAGCCAAAGAACTTACATGTACCACCCATGGACATGAATTAAGGGCAGGCAGGAAGAATTCTGGGGGGAGAGAGTATTCAGGATTGAGGGGAATGAAGAGGAGAAAAACATGGGACAACTGTAATAGCATAATAAAATGTATTTCTTAAAAAATGGAAGTGTGGTGTTACCCTTCAGATAAGCACACGTTATCTGCCATGCTGTACTGCGCATGCTGAGGGTTGTGTCATTTCCCTGAGTCATTGCTGTACTGCACATGCTCTACAGACATGGTTCAGGTCCTGCTCTCTACAGTTAGAAAGTCAGGAATCACGTTCTCCTGATCTCTCATCTCTGCTTTTCACTTTGCAAATGCTTCATTGGTCTTCCACTGCAGATTTGTTGTTTTTCTATCCAAATCACAAGGTGGGACATGAGAGCCCATAGCTCCCCAGTTTATGTTTTCTTTATTTCAACAACAAGTCAGACCAAGGCTAGAATATCTCATTTCTAACCTCAAATTCCTGGGGTAGTTTTAGGATCTTACTAAAATCAGAGATGACTTCTTTCTCCAAGATAGACAGTAAAGCAGAAGTTTAAGAACACCAAGAAACAAAGACTACTTTTTTTTCCCTAACTGCTCCGTAGAGAACTTGAGCTGAAACAGCTTACTTAGATTTTGGGGTGGATACAGGGTGATGTCTCACCACCCATAAACACACTGTGTAGAAATGACAAAGTGCTTCGAGAGAGAGAGAGAGAGTTGTCCTAATCCTTGTTAATGTTTCTCCAGGGACTGAAAGGATGGGCCTGGGTAATGCTACTGTCTTATTTGAGGCACGTTTCTCTTCCTTTATTGTAATAGGTATGATTTATCTCTTGGGAAGATATGCATCTGTCTTGTTATGAGTAAGTTAAACACAGAGGTAGCATCATACTTTGTTAACTGATTGTTTTTTTCAAGAGAAAGAAAAACAGGGACTAATTACATGGAAAGTATTTAGGAGGAAATAAAAGATTAATTACATGGTGGGTGTCAGAAATTCCTGAGAACCAGAAGTAGAGATTTGGCCCACGGCCTCTCACATCAGAGGGGAATTCGGATTTGTCTAGCTTGAGTCAGATGCCTATGAAGTGGCTGCTCCCATTTTATCATAGTGGGGCGAGGGCCACTCTGAGGAAGAGATACAGGACAGGGGAAAGAAAATTATTTTCTGGACTCTTCAGATTGTTCCAGGTTCCCCTAGAGAAGCAAAATTACATTGCTTGTCAGCATCATGACACAGTAGTATTTGAATGGTGGGTGTTTTATGTATTTAAAATTTGGAAAACTGAGGGAGGTACTCTTACCCAGCCATACCCACATTGAAATTAAATTGAAATGTAAAAAAATATAAGAAAACGCTGTGAGTGTTTTACTAAAAATATATATCTGTGCTGATTTCTTAAAGTATTTCTCCTGTATGTCAAAATACATTTGCATTATTTTGTATTATTTATTATGTCCTTTGATGAGATACAAAGAGTTAAGCTTAATGTTCATGATATCGCTTTAGTTTCTCCTGTCATTTTGTTTCTAGAAATAAGAATCGGCAAGGGAAGTAGGGCCACTCTATGGAAAAGCAAAAGAATAGCTGTAGACATATTAAGAGATGCAGAAGCTGATGATTCAGTTTTAACTTTAATGATTTTAGTGTGTACAAAGTTTCAAAAGAAAAGTCATTCAATATTTTGTTGAAGGTTTGTATTTCAACCTCTGTATTTCTTCCTGAAAATAGTTCCTTAATGCTGTCCTCTTTTTGACCATCATAAACTATCATATTCAGTACATTCTTCTAGCGAACTGGTTGACAGGTATGGACATACTTTTTCCATTAGAGGTTCCCTGAGCAAAGGCGTTGAAGAGCTCTGTTTCACTAGAGAGTCATCAGTAAACCAGTCATCAGCTGCTTCTATAGTTTGTCCGTAACAAGAATCAGATGGTAACGCTGATGAGCTTAACGTAACATCACCCCAATTTGTTGTTGAGCTAGTCTCTGAAGAGTCACAAATCACTTTTTTAGTTGTAAGGCAGAATTCATCTTTAGAGTGATCACTTGCTGTAGAAGAAAATTAGATTTACTATGAATGTTACATATTCATGAGCCAAATCTTAGTTATAAGGACAATGCTTCTTTTAGAAATTTATAACCTTTTTAGGATTATAATGGACAGGATGATGATATAGTGAAAAATCTGAGTTGCTATTATCATATATACAATGTTAAACATGTAAATGAAAGTTACCAATATTTTTATATTAATCAAGAGTAGAAGAGTCTATCCTAAATAAAATCAAACTATAAACAGAAGAAGATTCCAAATAGGCTAGAAATCTCGGTTCTGAAATGTCCCTTAAAATCAGAAAAGACAGATAGTTTCTTAACTATTTAAAGCTATATATTGTCCTATTTTAAAAATAAATTTAAAAAATGCATGCCTCCTTGAGTAGGCAAATTATAAAATGTTTGGTTCATAGTAGAAAGGACTTATGAGTTGGCTTTATACCAATAAAAAATAACAACTAACATTCCTATAGTGTCTTATAATTCACAAAGCAATTCGATAGACTTCCACATCTCATTTATCTTCTCAGTAATTCTTCAAGGTAGTTATTATTTGCACCACTTTACAAAAGAGAATATTGAGAATTAGAGAAATGACTCACAACAGATCAGATACAAATTGGACTTTAATCTAGATTTTTGTTACTCTAAGTCTCATGTTTCTATTGCATTATTCATGCTGGCAGTTGGTATTAAAAATGTAGTATTAGGAAAGGTCACATTTATACAATATCTTAAAATATCTTTTACTATATTTTATATATTAACTTTTGATATTAATGTGTAATACTAATTTTAAGGCTGTTTTAAATATCTTGTTACATTTTATATTCAGTAGCTCTAAAATTATGTAGAAGGATAATGTTTTGAGATACTAAGACATGGTATGAACTACCTAAAGGATTATGAAACACTCGGGTCTTTTGATCCTCTGGCTTTACTATATGGCAATGACTATGATACCTTTGGGCATAAATAGGGAGAAAAATTTTAATTTTACATTTTAATTTAAGATTTAACATTATGAGTTTTGTTTTCTAAAAAATATATGCCCATTTACATACTAATAAGTTAATGTTTCCCGTGAATTTCCATGTTTTAAAAAAATACTTAGGTAACATTTAGAATAGTCCCTTGAATTTTAAGATGTTAATTGCTCTAAGTTGATTACAATTTCTTCTAATAAATTGTTGAGAAAAAGTACCTTTTATATGTGCTGTTTCCTGTTCTCTTTGCTCCTCCTATATTAAAAAACAAGTTATTTGTATTTAAAAAACTGAAGTTTTAATATAATTTCTTTAATGCATTTGACTTATACACTTATATAAGAATAATATATTTTAACATAATAGTTTTTTGATGGAATAATGTTTTCTCTATGATAAGAATTTATTTTTACCAAAATGTATTGACCGAAAAGAAAAAGCGTTGAAGTATCATCTGAAAAGAATGTGGACTCGTTCAAGAAAGCAGTCTCCAGATTAGGAAATGAAAGGGTGAAATAGAGTTCAACAGGATTACTTCTCTCTGTCCTCACTTAGAGTCACTTGGTTAGAACTAGAGAGGGCTAACAAAATAATTAGAATTCTTAGACTTACTCATTTCATTAACCACCACCACCAACAACAACAAAGTGAATTCTGGCTGAAGGCTTTTATAAAAATGCAACTATTCTTTTGAAGCAAATAAAACATTTGATGAAACAATACATTCCAGATGTTTTGTGAGGAGTGTGGTGGTGTTGTAGTTCTCAAACTTTAGGGCATCAGATTCATCTGGTGTGCTTGTTAAAATAATGGTTCTTGGGTGTAATATCAGACTTTACTGAAACATATTCTCTGGAAATTTGCACCATAACACACACCACAAGTGGTTCTGATTCAGGTTATCCTTCGACCACTAGAAAAACACTGAGCTAGTTAATGCATAGGGTGTTTGGAATAAAGCGGGTGAAATTGAGGCGGGAGAGAGAACATTGTCTCTTGTGTTCTGGGGAAACATTGTTAATACTCTGTGTTGATCTGTATTGTCCTGTCCCTGCAGGATATACATATTTAGGATAAGCAGTTTTTTACAACCAATTTTACTTCTTTGTCACTTTCACCTTTTGTTAATACAAATGCCAGTATACATACACAGTGGCAGATAAAAATAGGGAGGGATATCTTGCGAGTGAAGGGTCCCAGCTCCACACCAGACCCCCAGCCCAGGGTTCCAGTGCCATGAAGATAATATGATCTCCAAAACTTCTGGCTGTAAAAACCAGTGGGGATTGAGGCTATGGGAGATAAAAACTTCTGGAATACCAGGCAGTTCCTCTTAAAGGGCCGGTACACAGACTTACTCAGACTCCCTCCCTCCAAGCTCCAGTATGAGTGCAACAGATTGAGAAGCATCAGAGACATAAGGAGGAAATGAATTGTCCAGGATCAGGGAGACAGCAGGGGTGGGGGAAGTTTCTCCCATACAGAAGTTCTGGCAGAGGCCATTGTTCCTTTCTGAGCCCTCCCTTCACAGAGCCACAGAACCAACAGGAGGGCACCACATCTGAGACTCCATCAACCTGGCTCACATTGTTTGCCTCACCCTGGTGATTTCCTGATACCATGCTCCACCTAACTTACAAGCTCACCCAGGCTGTTTCCAATGGCTATTCCCTATGAATGGCTTGTCTTGGCCCATGCTTCAGATTTTCCTAAATTCTCTCAAACCAGCCACACCGGGCTCCAGCAAGTCCCACACTTCTTGCTATGTCACCCCAAGTCCAGCACTAGCAGCAGCCAGCATTGGTATACAGCTTGGCTACTCCTTGGCACTTCCAAACCTAGTACAAGTAGCAGCTATCTGCAGATTGCTTTGTAGAGTATGCTGTGTGACTCTGAACAAAACATAGGCAGTGGCTGACCTTGGATTTGCCAACAGCAATTAAGGCTCAACTACAAGAGGAGGGTATACACAACCCACGTGGTGGGTGCACCTTGAGTACTCAGCTATGTCCCTGGACCCTAAAAAACACTCTCTACATTAGGCCCCTCTGTCAAGCCAGTGAGATGTAGCAGCTCTATCTAATACATAGAAACAACCACAAGGAGGCTGCCAAAATGAAGAGACAAAAAAACATGGACCAAATAAAAGAACAGAACAAAACTCCAGAAAAAGAACTAAACAAAATGGAGACAAGCAATCTACTAGATACAAAACACTGGTTATAAGGATGCTCAAGGAAATTAATTAGTACCTCAACAGCATAAAAAAGATCCAGTCAGAAATGAAGGATACGCTAACTGAAATGAAGAACAGTTTACAAGTGAACAATAGTAGAGTAGATAAAGCTGAGAATCAAATAAACAATTTGGAACATAAAGAAGAGGAAAGCAACCAGTCAGAACAGCAAGAAGAAAAAGGAAACCCAAAAAATGATAGTGTAAGGAGCCTCCGGGACAACTTCATGTACCAACATTTGCATCATGAGGGTGCCAGAAGGAGAAAAGAAAGAGTAAAAATTTGGAAATCTATTTGAAAAAATGACATAAAACTTCCCTAATTTTGTGAAGGTAATAGACATACATATCTATGAAGCACAAAGTTCTAATAAGATGAACCCAAGGAAGCCCATGCCAAGACACATTATAATTAAAATGCCAAAGGTTAAAGACAAAGAGAGAATCTTAAAAGCAGCAAGAGAAAAGCAGTTAGTTATCTATAAGGGAGTTCCCATAAAACTGTCAGCTGATTTCTCAAAAGAAACTCTGCACATGAGAAAGGACTGGCAAGAAATATTCAAAGTGATGAAAAGCAAGGACATACAACCAAGACTACTCTACTCAGCAAAGCTATAATGTAGAATAGAAGGACAAATAAATAGCTTCCCAGACAAGGAAAAGCTACAGAAGTTCATCACCACCAAATCAGTATCATATGAATGTTAAAGGGTCTCCTTTAAGAAGAAGAAGATCAAAACTATGAACAATAAAATGGCAATAAATACATATCTATCAACAATTGAATCTAAAGAAACAAAATAAACATACAAGCAAAACAGAAACAGAATAATAAGTACAGAGAACATTTTGATGGTTGCCAGAGGGGAGGGGGGGCATCAGGGAGATGGAAGAAAAAGCTAAAGGGATTAAGAAATACAAAAAATATAATAAAAAATAGTGAACCTTTAAAAAAAAACTGTAAAAGTCAGATAAAACAAGGAAAGAAAGTCAAAGAGCAAAGGAAACTAAAGAGATAAATGCTATATATATCTTGGATTATTACCAAGTACATTTGTGTAAAAACTGGTGAAATTCTTTACTCATATGTGGAATCTAATGAACAAACTGAACTAACAAGGAAACTGGGGACAGACTCTCAGATGGGAATCAGGATAACAGCTAGTGGTTGGGGGGCAAAGTGAGGAAATAGAGGGATTGAGAAAAAAAGGAAAAAAGACTGATAGACATGGATAACGGTGTGGTGATTGATGGGGTGAGGGGGGTGTAAGAAGACTAAATGGTAATGGAAAAAAACACTACAAAGATTAAATTTTAAAAAACTGGTGAAATCTAAAGTCTGGAATTCAATTAACTGTAATGTACCAATGTTGGTTTCTTGGTTTTGACAAATTTACTGTGGCAATTTAAGATTTTAACATTGGGATAAACTGGGTGAAAAGTATAATAGAATTCTATATTATCTTTGAAACTTTCTATACATCTAAAATTACTCCAAGATAAAAAGTTTACTTAAAAATCATATGCAAAAACATAAACACATAAATTTTCCTATAATAAAAGTTAAGAAGATATGCATGGCCTTTATGAAGATAATTATAAAGCTTTATTGAAAGATACTAAGATGACATGTAAATACAGAGAAACATCATGTTCATGAATTAGAAATTTAATAAAGAATCAGTTTTTCCCAAACTGATCTAAAACTTCTATGCAGTTCTCCTCCAAATTCCAAAATAATTTCAGTAAATGCTACTAGACAGTTGGTCAAACATATGAAAACAGACTTCTGCCAAGATGGAGGCATAGGTGGAAGCACTGCACCTTCTCACACAACCAAGTTTAAAAACATTAAAGTTTTAGCAACAAAAACACAGCCAAACCACAGAAAATTGAACTACATGGAAGTCTGACAACAATGAACCCTTCAGCCAAACTGGTAAGAAGGGCAGAGCCAGCAGCAGAGCAGAGTCAGGCAGGAAAGATCCACCAGACCGACCTGGGCATATGACCCAGGTGCGCCAGCAGCCATGGGCAGATCCCAGGTGTGTAGAAGCAGCAGGCAGACCCACTGAGGGCGCAAGGCGGTAGACCCACTGAGGGCTGACCACGGTTACACCTTTGTGCACAGATAAACTGGTGAAGGATCGAGCAGTGAGACAGACCGCGCAGGCCCCAATGGCAGGAAGTGGCAGAGGGGACTGCTATTGTCCCTCTCTGACCCCACCCCCACATACAGCATCACAACCCAGCGACCTGGGTGGCCCCACCCTGGTGAACACCTAAGGCTCCGCTCCTCATACCTAACAGGCACAAACAGATCAAAACATGGCTGAAGAACAACTCAGAGACCCAGAGCTGATAAATGTAAGTGATGAAGAAAGAGCCAAACTTTCAGATGCACAGTTCAAAACACTGGTGATCAGGATGCTCACAGAACTGGTTGATTTTAGTCATAAATTAGAGGAACTTATGAAGGCTAAACTAACTGAAATGAAGGGAAATGCACAGGAAACCAATAGTGATGGAAAGTAAATTGGGACTCAAATCAACGTTGTGGACCAGAAGGAAGAAAGAAACATCCAATCAGAAAAGAACGAAGAAACAGGAATTCAAAAAAAATGAGGAGAGGCTTAGAAACTTCCAGGACATCTTTAAACGTTCCAACATCCGAATTATAGGGATACCAGAAGGGAAAGAGGAAGAGCAACAAGTGGAAAACTTATTTGAACAAATAATAAAGGACAACTTCCCCAATCTGGCAAAGGAAATAGACTTCCAGGAAATCCAGGAAGCTCAGAGAGTCCCAAAGAAGTTGGACCCAAAAAGAAACACATCAAGGCACATCATAATTATATTACCCAAGATTATATCTCTCATATTATATACTCTCAGACGCACAGTTTAAAACACTGGTCATCACCTTCCTCACAGATCTGGTGGATTACAGCCACAAATTAGAGAAACATATGGAGGCTAAATTAAGGGAAATGAATGGAATTCCACAGGAATCCCATAGA